GCAGTGTGTCGCTGCTCCCCCTGCCCTGGCGGCCATTTGCAGTGTGTTGCTGCTCCCCCTGCCCTGGCGGCCATTTGCACTGTGTCTTTGTCCCCATCTGTGTGTGTTATTTCCTTGTTGGAGATCACCACCTACAGACATAGTTCAAAACAAATAAGCAACTTTCCGATCGCAGCTCCAGGCTCGGACGGAGGGGGGTGTTAGTGGGGAGGGTTTGGGGGGGTGGGCGTGTGAGGGTTGGTGGAGGGCGTTGGGGGTTTGGTGGGGGGTGTTGGTGGGGGGTGGAGGGCTGGGCTTTGGTGGGTGGTGGGGGCGGGGTGGAGGTGGGGATAGTGTACTGCTGTCTGTTTCAGAGCTGGTCGCAGGTGGAGGAAGACAGTGACCTTGCTGTGGCTGATTGTCTCCTGTAGGTTCTCCCTCAGCGACCGCCGGTGGAGCCCTGAGGTAAGGCCAGGGGGCCCAGCTCCCAGAGCACGGTATTTCCACGCCGCAGCATCATTGGGGCCTGCTCTGGACACCATGTACCTGGCCGGAGGACTGACCGACGGTGGAGTGACCGGTGACTTCTGGCTGCTGGACCTGGCCAAGGCAGAGTGGACGGAGGGAGAGGTACAGAGGGAGCTGGGCAGGACCACTCACACTGGGACAGGCCGTTGACCCCCTCCTACCCACTGTGCCCACTCGTTAACCTCCGCCCTCAGTAAAGGCTCCTGCACCCCCCCCCCACCACCAGCCCCTCCGCACCCTGTACTCTCAATCACGAGGGAAGGAGTGCCATCGAAGAAGAACCTCATGCAAGTGGAGAACCCTCCTCACTCGAGGAATGGGCTGACTCCTCCCTCCGAGAACGCTGTGGATGGTGATCCATATCTCCGCTGAGATGGTTCTGTCTTGTTGCTGTCTGCACCTTTGCCTCTTGCTCTCTCTCTTTCTTTCTCTCTCTGTAGTCGGACCTCCTGCCCCCAGTCGCTGGCCACACTCTGACCCCATGTCGGAACTCCATCCTGCTACTCATCGGAGGTTACTCTCCTCAGAACGGCTTTAACAACAAGCTCCTGGAATACAACATCAGCTCGGCAAACTGGAGTGTCAGCCAGCACACGGGAACAGCCCCTACAGGTACGCACACAGAGGAACAGCCCCTAAGGGTACACCCACAGAGGAACAGCCCCTACGGGTACACCCACAGAGGAACAGCCCCTATGGGTACACCCACAGAGGAACAGCCCCTCGGGTACACACACAGGGGAACAGCCCCTACGGGTACACACACACAGGGGAACAGCCCCTACGGGTACACACACACACAGGGGAACAGCCCCTACGGGTACACACACAC